GTATTTGAAGGATCAGGGGGCTTCGTAAGTACAGACTGCCGAAACCCTCAACCCTTAACCCTGAAACCTGAACCCTAAACCCTGAACCCTAAACCCTAAACCCCGAATCCTAAATGATTTTTCTGTAAACTCACTACTTCGACCCTGCTTAAACTTGTAGGAACCTAGGCTTGTGTAAGGCGTCAGTGTGCTTTCTCCAAACTATGGGAGTTTCCGATTCTAAGGGGTCCTTATAGGGTTCTACTATTAAGGGTACTATAATATTTAGCGTCCCCTATTTTCGGAACCCCCCCTATAGCTCCTCGAGCAAGCCTTCAAACCTTAGGTCAAGGTAGGTTAACACGCATTTGATCTGGAGTATAATATAAGGGCCTTAATAATTAGAATAGGGTTTTGGGGCCCATTATACTATATCAAAAATAAGAAGCCCCCAAAATAGTATAGGTCTTTCTTAAGGCCCCTGCATTACCTTGAACCATGTTGAGGACAAGCCCTAAACCCTAAACCCTAAGCCCCAAACCCCTCTGAAACCCTCAATCGGGAGTATTGAGCTCTGCAGAGAAAGGCACCCTGGTAAAAACGAGAGCAACCTACGGATCTTATAGCGTATACTACACTGTCAAAAAAACCTTAAGGAAGAAGGAAGAGTAACACTAATTGCTCAGGCTTTTTATTATCTCCTCCACCCCTTGTTGGGCTTCTAACGCCCCGAACTTCAAGAAGACTGCTCCAACCCTAAACCCTGAACCCTAAACTAAACCCTGAACCCTCAACCCTAAACCCCAAACCCCAAAACCGTAAACCCCAACACCCTAAAACCTAAACCCTAAACCCTAAACCCTAAACACCAAAACCCCAAAACCCTGAACCCTGAACCCTAAACCCTCAACGCCAAGCTGAGATCTGAGACCTCCTGAGATGCCAAGAAGCCCACGGCACTTCTTGTGCCAGAGAGCGGCCAAGGATGTAAGTCAGCTTCTGATTCAAGCCTGAGGATTGGTTTGGGGTTTAGGGTTTAGAGTTTGGGGATTAGGGTTCAGGGCTTAGGGTTTACGGTTTGGGGTTAGGGTTTTAGGGTTTAGGGTTTAGGGTTTAGGCCTCATCGGGGCTTAAGGTTTCAGTCTATTGGGCAGTAGACTCTCGAAACAGCTCTTACGGTTCAGGGATTTAGGGTTTAGGGTTTATTAATTTATTCGGGTTTATGGGGTTCACCAAGCAAGTGTGGGTTGAGAGTCAAGGGTTTAGGGTTTTAGGGTTTAGAGTTTAGGGTTTAGGTTTAGGGATATATATATATATATATATATGTATATGTATATGTAGATGTAGATGTATATGTATATACACACATATATAGTTGAGAGGGAAAATAAAACTGTTAGTTCTTCAGGCCCCTATAAATCGGTATACCTGGCCTTGAGTGCTAGGCCAAAACTCAGGCAACCCTTCAACTCATAAGCAGATATTGCTTAGAAAGATACAGGTACGTACTTCAGGGCAAAAGTCTATTCTAGATGTGCGTACCTGGACACTTACAGTATCATAACACTTTTTGGGCAGTTCTCTAAATTAGGGTCCCTTTTAGGGTCCTTTTTATAAGGGTGCCGTACTATATTGGGGACCTAAAAATGGACCCTAATTTAGAGAACTACACTCTATAACACTCCTGACATTCCAAAGCCATCCCAGCCGAGTGGCTGAGCTCCCCGATAAGAGCTCTGATCGGCTCTACGGCACGCCTGGGCTTTGGCCGTTGTGCTTGGTGATATCATCTAGCATCGTGCTTCTGTTGAGTGTGATGTCTTGTTGTTTGGTTTGGCTGTCTTTGGTGGTGTTGGGGCGGAGCCGGATTGAATTCTTCGACGCTTCATTGTTGTGGTAAACGCTTGCGCATGCATCATATGCAGCCTACAATAAGCTGGAACAGGTGTGGAACACTGATGTGGTCTTCAAACTCCCGCCAATGACGATAAGGGGTGACACTTTTGAACAAATGGCTGGGGCACCTGCAAGCAATGCTTGCCGGCTAAGTTTGTAAACTTGCAATCTGCTCAGCTGACTACTTCCCAAGCAGGAATCACGAGTCCAGACACCAAGCTGCGCAAGCTCAAGAACTAGCAGGCTCAGTACATGCTCTATACCAGTCGAGTGGTAACTAAATGCCGCATTTAAAGCTAGCCACTATGTGAAGAACCCGCTACTGCCACAGCTACTGCAGATTTGCTGCTGCTACTACTACTACTATTTCTACGACCCAACAGCACCAGCACCAGCACCAGCAACCAGCACGAGCACCGCCAGCACCACCTGCACCAGCACGCACCTGCACCAGCACCACCACCAGCACTGCCAGCACCACCAGCACCCGCACCCGCACGCGCACCAGCACCCGCACCAGCACCCCTCACTAGCACCTGCACCAGCACCAGCACCAGCACTAGCACCAGCACCAGCACTAGCACCACTACGACCACTACGACGACGACCACTACTAGTGCTGTCGCCCGACACCTTCACAAGCGAACAACAGCAGTTAAACTGGCCAGCGCACGCGACAGGAAGTGAGGGCCAGAGACTGATTCGTGGCATCTTTGTCCAACACCTCAAGAACGAGCCGGGTCGGGCTGAGGGTGTAATGTAGGAGCCGTAATAGCTAGTTTAGGGATTTGGGGCTCCTTTATAGTATCATCATAATAAGGAACCCTAAGAATAATATTGGTAATTACTTATTAAGCTTCTACCTTAGCTATTAAGGGTTTGGAGAAGGGCAGAGGGCTGAGGGACGACGGTTGCGGGTTCAGGGTTGGGATTCCGGGCCCGTTTGGTATTGCAGTGCTTGGGTTCAGTTTAGGGTTTAGGGTTTAGGGTTTAGGGTTTAGGGTTTAGGGTTTAGGGGTGGTGGGTCTTGGGGCGGTTTAGGATTAGGGGCCTGTCGGGAGTGGGGATCATGGGGTCCCGGCCAAACAATCAAGCAGCTTAAATGCTCGGTTTAGGGTTTAGGGTTTAGGGCTTTGTTTTTTTGGTTTTGGGTCCCGCTGGTGTAAAGAAATCAATCAAACAAAGATGCATGCACAACATTCTCTACATACACAGATGTCTTTGTTGTACCACAGTTCACGAACTTGGCACCCCATAGGTTTCCACTGGTTTCAAACCATCAATCTCTTATAGGGATCAAAGGGACAGTAGCCTGATGGGTTGGAGTCCTACGGTTCGCGACAAAACTTGCTCCCACCCAACCCCACACCCACTGCTTTGGATTTCCGTTCAGTGATCAGAGGCCCCATGGGCTGCAGCTCTTCTAGCCCTCAAGCCAGACCCCCACAAGCCCTAATTTGGCGGCCTGAATTGTGAATAGGGCTTTCGGGTGCAATCCAGGCCGGGCCTCACTAGCTTCTTCTACCCTAAACTCGACACTATAGGGTTTAGGGTTTAGGGTTTAGGGACTATAGGTTCTGCTAATGTAATCCTAAACCGCTCCAGAACTGCACTCTTGGGCTTCGCTTTCTGCGCCGGACTAATTACCTGGACCCCTACCCCAAGCTGTACTTAGACCCTAAACCGTAAATCCTTAAACATTACTTATTCCGGGGCACCCGAACTCCGAGTGAAGCGCCACCCACCACTACCACACCCTGCACCCCGATCCCTAAAGCCCAAAACACAAAATCACAAAACCCTACACTACTTATTCCGACCTGTATATTTTTTTATGCCTTCGTTAGGGTGCAGTGCAGGCTTTGTTCTTGGTGGGGTCCGTCGCTAGTAACTTCCCCTAGGAGTCCATGTACCTATGTATTGCATGCTTGGGCCGTTAAGGGGTTCCTGCATAGGCACTTTGGGGCCAAAGTCTATGCGGGTGCATGGACCCGGAGGGTTCGATGAGGCGAGGCACTCATCATGGCTTCCTTCACCTCAGCTTCTGTTCCGGAAACCCTAAAACCCTAAACCCCATAACCTTAAACCCCTAAACCCTAAACCCTAAAACCCTAAACCCCTAAACCCCTAAACCCCTATATAAACCCTAAACCCGTAAACCTCAGACCCCTAAACCCTAAACCTCAAACCCCTAAGCCCTAAACCTGACGCTTTCTTGCTGGACTCGGGACTTCTCGAGGCTTGAGTCTTAATGTTGAAGCATATATTAGGGTTTAGGGTTTAGGGTTTAGGGTTTAGGGTTTATAGGGTTCATAGGGTTTATAGGGTTTAGGGTTTAGGGTTTATGCATCCTTATTATTGGGTCCTTAAGGGGTCAAGGGCCCTAATTGTAAGGTCCTTGGAAGCCTAGGGTAAGAGAAAAGAATCAGGGAGTTGTGGGGTTGCTTTGTGCTGTGTGCTCCGGTTGAGCAGTTTGGGTATAGGTATACCCTAAACTCTAAACCCTAACCCTAAACCACAGGCGTTTAGAACATAGAATGGGGGGAAGTCTGCCGCTCAATCTCTCCTGCTAAATAGGTATATAACAACCACATTATGTTGGAAACGCCGCCTTCTTTGTGGGGGTTCCGAAAATAGGGGACCCCACTATAGTACCCCCACATAGTAGGATCCTTGTCGTAAGCAACCCCAAATAAGGTACCCCTTAGTTTCGGAGACTCCCATTCATTGAAATTTGAGGCCGCGCAACAAGCATAACTGCAAGCAATCTCGCACCCCTGAAGAACTTCTCAAACCCTAGGCCCTGAACCGCTAAACCCTAAACCCTAAACCCCTAAACCCTTAAACACCTAAGCCCTCAACCCCTAAGCCCTAAGCCCTGAACCCTAAACCCCTAAATTTTCTAAGCCCCTAAGCCCGAAACCCTAAACCCCTGAACCCCGAAGCCCCTAAACCCTAAACCGCCATGACCTTGCAAGCCGGGCGTCCGGGAACCCTATAAGGCTCGAGATCCCAAGCTGTGAAAAGTGTGTTGAGAAAAGAGAAAAATCATTGCTGTTTCGGGCCTTTAGAGTTTAGGGCTTCGGGGTTTAACCCGAAACACTAAACCAAAACCCTAAACCCTAAACCCTAAGGGTCTAGAGAGTTTAGAGCTTCGGGGTTTAGGATTTAGGGCTTGGGG